GTATTATAATAGAGATCCTCTGCTGAACCTGAACAAGAGTTCAACAAACAATAAAATTAATGGGTGTAAATATTCTTCATATCAGTGCATCTGGAGTAAATGCTTCTCTAAAGGCAGAATTAATTACTAGTATGTCTCTAGCACATGGCAACCCAAGTCTTTATTTTTAACACCAGGGGCCCATGCACGAGTCCTGCAGGCTGATGCCCCCTCTCAGCTGGACCATGTGAAATCGGTTATAGATGTGTACCTGAATCAAGTGAAGGAATCAGTGAACAAAGCCCTTACTCATCTGGATGATACAGAGTACAAAGATTACAAGTAGGTCTATGTCATCCCACCCCATGATGGTCTTGTCCCCTGTAAATGTATATCTCTGTCCTTTATTCTCATGTTATCCTGGACATGCCGCTAATCTGACTTAATTCTGTTCAGCTCCACCAGATGTCTCAGATCTTTCCTTCTCTCTGCTTTATCACCCAATAGGCAATACATGACTCAGGGCCTCGACAAGGTTCACGACATAATCACGAAATCCGCAGACACCGTGGTTCCCTATGGTCAGCAGCTGGCGGTCATGACCGAAGACACCCGCACGAAGATCATGAATGATATCGATGGCCTGCGCACGCAGCTGGAGCCCCAGCGTGAGGAACTGCGCAAGGTCATCCACAAGCATATAGAGGAATACCGCGAGAAGCTGACTCCCGTCTTGAAGGAGTACACAGAGAAGCATCGTCAGGAAATGGAAGCGTTCCGGGTGAAGATGCAGCCCGTAATAGCGGAGTTGCGTGAGAAGGTCGCGACCAACGTCGAGGAAACCAAGTCCAAGCTGATGCCCATTGTGGAAGCTGTCCGTACCAAGGTGAACGAGCGCTTGCAGGAGCTCAAGGAAATGCTTGAGCCCGTTGCCCAGGAATACAAGGAGCACCTGACTAAGACATTCACCAACCTGAAGGACGGTAACCAAGACATCCAGAACAAGCTAAAGCCCCTGGCTGAAGAGGTGAAGGAAAAGCTATTAGCCATGTGGAACGTCATCAAGGACCACGCCCACCCCTAAACGTCTGCCCACTCACCTGCCTCGCCAGTCACTCTCCTACACTTTAATGGACACACACAAACACATGCATAAGACACGCTTCGCAAGCACCACACCGGAAACACCTTTGTGTCACAATCGTGGCAAATAGAAACAGAAAAGACAATGAGCTGATTAACATAGACACACATTATAAAGCTTGCTCTGCATTGGTGGCAGGTTCTGATCTGACCAGTGGTGTGATTCCTGTAGGATGTGAGGGCAGTGTGTGCCCAGCCACCGTGTTTGACGTCTGTACATCCCAACTGCTGCTTGAACCCCACCCTGCCGCATGGGTTCTTCTTTTTTAACCTTTCAGCTTTGTAATCTTCACCCCAGGCCTCCAACCGATAATGTCTGACCAATAAAATCTATATCATTTAATACCAAGTGTCTTTGCCCTGGGTTATTTATTCATTGTTCTAATCGCTATTGCTGGACTTCAGTACTATTCACAGGATTATGAAACATCGAGCAAAGCTGCGGGTTTTAATGCAGTCCCAAAGAAAGAACACACAATGAACTGTTCACTCAGGGACTCTAAGTATGCTACAGTGAATTGTTGACATGCTGTTAAATGACTAAATGAGTGATGATAATGAAAGGAGAACATTCCTTCTGGCACTCGTGTCTCGTGGTGGTGTGTGGCTCAGCAGGGTGGGATGCTGTGTCTGTAAAGGTTGTGGGTTCGAATCCCTGGGTTGGGTGAGTGGTTTCCCTGCTGGGCCCTTGAACAAGGCCCTCAACTGTGAGCCTGCTTTTTTTGTAATTGTGTCTGCTACATAAGTGAGATGTCTTTTTGGCTATTTGCTTCTGCTCCCTCCATAGGATACAGGCTTTAGTTAACAACATAATATTTGCCAAACATTCCCATAAAGCCATACTAGACATAGGAATGGAATCATCTAACCCATTTGACAGAACTGAATCTGGTTTTTGTTTGCTGAACCCCTGTGGCTCATACATAACACACCAGAAATGGACCCTGGGTTGAGACTTCACCATACACCTTGTTGTGATGGAGATTAAATGTCCTCCATTGGCAAATAAGCTACTATAACACATTTACCAGCTGAAATACCTTCAGGAAACCAAAGCAGTCTAAAGAAGTGTGTTTGAACCATTTCATATAAATATATAATGTCATACAATGAAGGGCTTCAAGGGGCAGTGATTACACTGGTTTTCCAGAGAACATAATAATTCAGCACCAGCAGATATTCAGCCAATACATCAAGCATATGAAAGTTATAAACATCAATTAAAAAATGTCAAGGGAAACACAAATCAAGGTTACCACATGGATGGAGTATGGCTGGAGTATGCCTGGAGTATTATAAAAAATACAGGACGAAACGCTGCACTGTTATTTCAACACACTTCAACTATGTGCCATTAATGCAACAAAATAAAAACATGCAAACCCTAGCAGAAAGGTTAGGGGACTGGTCACTGGGAGACTGGATGCTGTCACATCTGTCACAGCATAATTATAAGTGGGTTGATTAATGAGGGAAAATAATGAATCTGGTCTTCTATTGACAAGCTGAGGCATGACTTTGGGAAGCGTTTTTTAGGGAGGGAGATGGATTAGGTGCCCCTAGGTTGTATACTTCAGCACCATCCTTTCACCTGCTCTCTTATCTGCGGCATAATGAGCAGCTTTTGCGCTTCAGGCGCAGAAAAGGATCAGAAATCATACACAAACTAGGATTACTATTAGGAATAAACAAGCCTTTTTCAACCAAATCACCTGTTCTCAAGATTCAAATGTAAAGCATTTAAAGTAATGTCAAATGCATTTTATCCTTTTATTTTATCCAGGGCAAAATTAATGTGTTGCTGTTTGTCGCGCATGAGAATCTGAGAGCTGGCGGTTGGCAGCATCTCCAAATGTTGCATATAGGGTCAGTATGTCTGGCAGGACAATAAAGACGATCTATGCTTAACTCAGAGTGTTCACTTTTTTAATGATTACATTGGACTAAGTGCTGTTCAATGTGTTCAACCCTCGTCATTAGGAAAACCTGAGCCAAAGGAATATCAAACCAGGCTTGAGCAGCTTTGTAAAATGGTGACAGAAGCCCCCCTTTTTCCTGGCCCCTTAGCTCCAGGGTATCTGTGATTCTTCACGTCTGATTGTCGGGCCTTATGGGAAAGGATGCTTATCAGTAGACTGTGACTATCCAAGATGGCTGGAGGGCTGACGTGCTGCCTCACCCAGGACACGGGAAGATTGGAGTTCAGACAGACCAGTGGAGATCCTGAAGACTGATGGCCAAAGATTTACATCATTATTCTTGAGTCCCTTGATTCTTGTTTGGCTTTTATTTGTGGACCTGGGGGGTGTTTGCACAGTGTGTGTCCCTGTGCAGGATTTTTTTTTTTGGAAATACAATTAGTTCAGTGTTGAGTGGTGCCAGACAACTATGCTTCTTCATGATTAATGAACTTGTAGTAAGAATGAATTGATTTTTATTAGGCAACACAAACAATTTTGATGGCTTAATTGGTGGTAGGATCAGGTGGTTTCCTAACCCGCCTCTCCTGACACTATAAGAGCAGAGCCGTCCGCCATTGCATCATCGCAAATGGGCCTGCTGTCGGAGGGGACCGGTCCAGACAGAACCAGCTAGTTGTGCTGTCACGAAGGAGATTTTGGGGCTTGTTGAGCCTGCAGTAGCATGAACGCATCCAGGTGCTTGTGCTAGGATGGCTTTACCTTGTCATTAGCATCACACAACAAAACATCACCGCATGCCCTGGAGATTCTGTGAGAGCTACTGAGGCTAACAGTTGTGGCACTTTGGCTGTTCTCGCTACTGTTAGCAATGAGTTCATTCTAAATAAGAAAGGAGCTGAAATAAATCAAGCGACTTGGATGTCTCAGAAAAGTAGCTTTCAGAAGCGGCTAAGATTGAGAAGCAGCGAGTGATTGCATTGACAAAGCTTATTAAAGGGAAGGCTTTTACACAGCTGCAGTCTGATAAAGATGGATACCCAGAAAAAATCTGAGGACATACAGCAACATCTTTTACCTATTTATGGTGGCCGGGTGGTGACACCTAGCTGGACAACAAACGTCATTCGGCAGAGAGACCCAGAGATGGACCAGTGGGAAGAATCACCCTACGGATCTGGACCTGAAGGACTGGCAGGCAGATGGACATTGCCTTTGAGTTCTGCAGCCATGGAGTGTCTACCCACAGCTCACATGGATGGTATAGAGGCTCCATCTTTGTTAATTACCATTGCCCAGAGGTGGGTAGTCCAGGTCCAGAAAGTAAAAATCCAGACCAAGATTTTGTTTCAACCAACCAGTTGAGTACTTTGTGATGTGACGGTGACTCTTTATACTTAGCTGGTTGCTTGAAAGAATATCTTGGTCTGAAACTTTACTTCCTGGACCTGAACTGAATCTGCCTTTGTCTAATTAATTATTCAAGATAGATGCTTGATCAGTGTCTTTTAGTTTGCATGTTGTCTGTCATTTGCATGTAACGTATAACATCTATCTATCTATCTATCTATCTATCTATCTGTCTGTCGTTCGTCTATCTGTCTGTCTGTCGTTTGTCTATCTGTCTGTCTGTCGTTTGTCTATCATCTATCTATCTATCTATCTATCTGTCTGTCGTTTATCTATCTATCTATCTATCTATTTATCTGTCATTTGTCTATCTGTCTGTCTATTGTTTGTCTATCTATCTATCTATCTGTCGTTTATCTATCTATCTATCTATTTATCTGTCGTTTTGTCTATCTATCTATCTATCTATCTATCTATCTATCTATCTGCATGTCCTTCTTGTGGTGGGCTCATGTGGATCTTCTCTGGTTACACCCACCCTCCAAAAATATCCCATTCAGAAGACCCACTGTCCTTAAAGTTGCCGGTAGTTCGTTTGTGTGACAGACCATGCCAGATATCAGACATGGGCCGGCTGCCCAAGGTGTCCCTCAACTTCCTGGGATAGGATCCAGGTTCAGTGCATCCCTGCACTGTAGAAGCAATTATAGAATATGGGCTATTATTCATTTGCAGAATAGCACAATACATCTGTAGATTCATTACAGTTATATGCTGTTTGTATTCTTTGGTCTCCCGTGTTGTAAATTGCTGGACGGTTTTATTAATACCCCCTACTCGCTCTCCTCATTTATTTGTTTGTTTCTGCTCTGATGGCAGCATCCTCTGAGCTTTCCTTCATCTCTCATCGAATACTTACAGCGTTCTGCCTGTTGTCAGTGTTTCTATCTTCTGTACCTATTCTGGCAGAAAATTTGGATGCACAGCATGTTCTAATGTGTTGTCAAAAAAAGGCTATAAAATCTTCATGCAAACGGCAAAACACTCAGATAATTCTGTCCAAGTTACTTCATTCCACCTAATATGTAGTACATCTACTAACAGGAAATGCTGAGAGTAGAGATACAAACAGTATCATTTTCACAGCTTTAACAAAAAGAAATACAAAATTACTAATATCTCACTCTTTCTTCTCTTCCCCTCTCTCTTGCTCAATCAAATTCCCTCCCTGGGGGGGGTTTCCATCCTCTCGGGTGTTACAGAGGCTGGTAATAAGTGTGTCAAAGCCCCCCAGGTTGCCGGGGTCAAAGTTCAACTGGAGATGAGTGCACTGTGGAGGCAGTTTGACCAGCTGGGTATGGAAATGATCATCACTAAGGCAGGAAGGTTAGCATGTCGGGCTCCTGGTACCACAGATGGACATAAGAAGCTTGAATGTAAAACAGGTGATTTATTATTATTGCTTGTCAGGCGGATGTTTCCCACATTTCAAGTCCAGATTTCTGGAATGGACCCAGCAGCAGAGTACGTTCTCCTGATGGACTTCATCCCTGTGGATAACAAGAGATACAGGTGGGAATCCTCATTCCCACAGAGCAGTGTCTCCCAACCCGGTACTCGGGACCCACAATCGGTCCATGTTTTTATTCCCTCCCAGTTCCCTGCTCCCCAGTAGGCAGCTGAGAGGGAGCAAAAACATGGACTGTCCCCAGGACTGGATTGGGAAACACCGCTATAGAGACACATAAATGTTCAGCTTGAGCTGAGTTGGCCGTTGACACGGCGCTCCATGAGGCTGCCTCTCTGATCAATCCCTCTCGCTCCCCACCTCATCCCCCCAGGTATGCATTTCACAGCTCGTCCTGGCTGGTGGCAGGACAGGCAGACCCTGTGATGCCAGGCAGAGTGCACTTTCACCCTGACTCCCCCGCCAAGGGTGCCCAGTGGATGAAGCAGACCGTGTCCTTCGACCAGCTGAAGCTCACCAACAACCTGCTCGATGACAACGGACACGTGAGTGTCCTCTGGGCGAATGCGCGGCTCCGTAATTCCCATGGAAACCAAACTAATACTGTACATTTTGCATATATGTGTACAGATAATGTTAAACTCCATGCACCGGTACCAGCCTCGGTTCCACGTGGTGTTTGTGGACCCACATCACAACTACCAGCAACATCCCCACCAGAACTTCCTGACCTTCTCCTTCAGTGAGACTCGCTTCACTGCTGTCACCGCCTACCAGAATCACAGGGTACTGTTCCAGCGTCCAAACACAGTGATTCTCTGTCTGTGGCCTTCTAACAGTACCAAAGGATAGTGCTGCAGCTCTAATGACCAAGACTCCTCATAAGTGTCTGCTGAATTAGTCAGGAAATTTCTGCAGCTGATCATATTTGTTGAAGGATTCAGGTCTAAAAATCATCAAAACATCATAAGGCACACTTGTGCCTGTAGGGTCTGGGATAGGCTCCGGGTTAGGCTCTAGCATAGGCTCTGGGATAGGCTCCAGGTTAGGCTCCGGGTTAGGCTCCGGGTTAGGTTCCAGGTTAGGCTCTGGACCCTCCGTGAACCTGAACAGGATAAGCGGTTAAAGAACATGGATGGATGGAATAAGGCACACTCTAAAAATATCCAATTTGAAGACTCTTGCAATCCTTAATACTTATTACATTTTATATTAACTTTTGTTAATTTCAGTATCTCTCCCCTTTGTTCTTTTTCACCCAATCAGATCACCCAGTTAAAGATAGCCAGCAATCCATTCGCCAAAGGATTTCGGTCCAATGACACAGCTGAATGGTAAGATGCAGACAGGCTGCATGATATATTTTGTCTTTTTTTCCATTACTTGGGATATCTCATTTGTGAAATTCATGAGATTTGTGAAGGTGGGTGACTTGTGGATTGATTAATAGCAAAAATTATATTGTGTAACTTAATTCAATGTCAAAAGAATCAGTAACACTTTACTTGTCGGAGCACAAAACACAATTCATGTGTTTTGTGCAGTTACATATTTGTTCATGATTTGTTCATGATTTTTACTTGAGTAGTCACTGAGTAACTAAGTTACTTGTGCCCCTAAGGTAAAGTGTTATCAAAATATCCATTATTTTTAAACAATATATGTGACTATGTTTTTAAACAATATATATGTGACTATATATATAAAGATTATAGCAGGGGTGGCCAATCTTATGCTAAAGGGGGTAGTGTGTATATGCAGGTTTTTGGGATAACCTTTTGGGACAACCTGTTCAAACCCAGATGTGAGAAATCTTCAGCCTATCAGTCCTCTAAGTATGCTGCATTCCATTTACCACAGAGGTCAGAACTTGGACCTGGGAATGACGTCACACCCAAGTTAACGCCATTCCAGTTAACCAAGGAAAAGTCATTTAGCAATACCAGGGACCTGTTTCAAAAAGCAGGATTTCTTTCGTAGCCGGATAACATATCGGATTTAAGGTACCCTAGTTTAAATAGCCTTTATCTTCATTCACTTACATTTAGCCCAGACCACCTTAAATCCGACAAGTTATCCAGCTAACCAAGAAATCCTGCTTTCTGAAATGGGCCCCAGTTCTAACCCGGTTAATTGTTAGCCTTTGTTCGCAATATCGATGGATAACAACAAATTACATGGGATTTCGCGCATAAAAACACCATAGTAACATGTCCACAGATAGTGGTTGGACAGTACTGTGTGTACGACCAGTTTTAAGAGACACAAATAAGACGCAAGTATTAATAAACAGTATAAAACTACAGCTTTAACTTCTGTTGATAAAGGGCACAGCCATCCTGAATTCTGAGGTCAGGCTTGTGTTGATTCCTCCGAGTTCATGAGTCAGAATTTCGACTTCAGGAAGCATCCCATTTGAAATTTCTGACTAGGAACTCGGAATTTCCAAGTTACCAGTTCAAATGGAACGCAACATTAGTAATCTAATTAGGTAGTTGCAGCGGAAAGCCGCAAACCCACCAGCTCTTTCTGGATTGGATTGCCCCCCTGGATTATAGTGTATATTAATTAATAACTGACATCTCAGCATTTAATGATGGCTGTTTTCTTAAAACCAGATAGGAAAACTGGTTATGACACTAAACCTTTTTTTATTTCCTGAAATCCAAGTGCTCACATCAGGTGATAATGAAGCAAATACCCCTTTAGTTCATGAAAGTTTTATCAGATTTACCTGTACTTTGAAACATACTGGTTTTCAAGCCAAACTTCACACTAGAAAATGGAGGGATGATTTTAACCATATATATAGCACGTGGCCTCACTCTAAAGCATTCTGTGGGGGGAATGTGTGTGTGTGTGTGTGTGTGTGTGTGTGTATGTGTGCGTGTGTGTGTGTGTGTGTGTCTGCTCTGCTGGGACAGGCTCCTGACTCGCCACAACCCCATTATGAGATAGATGGGATTTTACTAGGAAAACTATGAAAAGCACTTCCCTCAAAACATACAATAGCATGTCCACTCTTTGGGTCACAAGTGCATTTCCCGACATCTGGTACATACGTCCGCTTTGTGCTTATTCTAGGTCTGCCAGATAGCAATGATTTCTGCAGACTTGGCAGTGATCCCAAATATCATTAGCATGGCTTATGAGCCACCTTATCTCGTGATGTTGAGGGGTGTGTGTAACTTGTATTGGGTTACAAGGATTTTTGTGGGAGTGGGAATATTCTTGTGCTCCAACAGGTGCCCTATAATCTCTTTCTCATTTCCCAGCTCTCAGGTGCAAGGAAGTAAGCAAGAGCAGAACAAAGCAAAGCAACGGCACCAGAAGAAGCAGAACCAACATTCAGGTTCGTAACTTAGTGGTGCAGAGGTCAGCTGCGGGAACATCTCACAGGGGGACCTGGGGGTTACCTTGGTCTGTCACATTAGTTCATTGCCAGGGTTGGACAGCTGGGTGCCTCACCTTCTCATAACTTTACAGTGCGGCATTCTGTGAGCTGGCCACCTACAGGGGTGTGGGAGAAATCAGGCGAATACCTCCCTCTCTCTTCCAACTGTGTTATGATGCATGAAGAAGTCTCTGCAGTCTGAAAGGAAGCAGGTGGCTGACAGGATGCACATTTAAGGAGTTATGCGATGGTCGTCATTTCTTTCGATTTGGAATGGGTGTTTAAGCAATGGGAGAAGATCTATGAGAAACTGAATAACGAACTATTCCAAGACAAAATGGGGGTGGACCATTGTGACCTCTGTATGATGAGCTGACTTTCTGACTGGTAACAGTACCCTTAAATGCAATATCTGTTAAAATACATTCTTATTGACAAAGTGCATATGGATGAAAACAACAAAAAGGTAAATGATAACGTAAACTCTCTCTCTGTCGCCTCTCTCCACAGATGTGCCCATCAAGCCAAACAAAATCTCCTCCACCTATGTCCTAGGTCACTCTACCCCCAGTAAACAGTCATAGTGGTCCCACCTGCATGATCTACACGCCCAGGAGGTGCAGACATAAAGTTGGTGCCCTCCTTAGGCAGAAGAAGAGGTGCTGCTAGGCTTTTATCTCTGAGAGCCCTATCACTTGTATTTTACCAGTCTGCTTTGCTCTTGTTTTCCTACTGAGGCAGAGTATAAAAAAGTGATGCAACCATTCGCTTCACAGAGCCTCCTTCATGTCAGCCCATCAGCTGCCTGCTTCTCCTTTACTTTGCCTCTAAAGTCTGATACTTCTGTGCACCGACGAGAAAAAAATAAAATCAGCCCAGACACCTGGGCACATCTGTGTGGTTTTACATCCAAAACCTTCCTTCTTTCCTCCCTTCCTTCCATCCTTCCTTCTGTCCTCCCATCCTTCCTTTCTGCCTTCCATCCTTCTTGCCTTCCTTCCTCCCTTCCTTTGTGTCTTCCATTCTTTCTTCCTGCCTTCCCCCTTTCCTTCAATCCTATCTTCCATTCTTTCTTCCTGCTTTCCTTCTTGTCTTCTGTCCTTCCTTACCTTCACCCTTCCTTCCATTCATCGTTCCTTTCTTCCTTCCTTCTTTCCTTCCTGCTTTCCATACTTCCTGCTTTCTGTCCTCCCTTACCTTCACCCTTCCTTCCATTCATCCTTCCTTTCTGCCTTTTGTCCTTCCTTTCTGCCTTTTGTCCTTCCTTTCTGCCTTTCCTTTCATCCTTCCTTCCTTTCTTCCTTCCTTCTTTCCACTATTCAATGCAATACTGGGTAATAATAAACCCTAAACCCTAAATGCATGTGAAATGTAGGTCATAAATCATTTAATAAATTACGCGAGGGAGTAAAATCCAGCTGACTTTTGGGACCTCTGCAGCTGAACCTGAGATTGCTGCTGTTCATTAAAAACTTGCATGTTCAGTTGCAATATTTTGCTAACCTTTTGGAATTATTTTAATTTCGGCAAAAATGGCACCTAAAATGTGGCCTGGTTAGTTTGCTTTAACAAACAACAAGCAAAACATTTTATGTTTCCATACCTTTACGGAGAAAATGGTTTTTATCATGCTTGGTCATTAATGATAAAACTATGCGAACCTTTATGACAATGGACTCTTGATGGAGGGTAATTGGATACCAGTGAATTCAGTTGTGGGTGTGACCTGCCCTGTCTTGACACAGTATTAGTTACCGACTCTTCACAACAGATATCTATTCAAGTGCAACATGACCAGATCAGAGTTGATTTCAGACGACCTCAGAAGAAGAGCTGGTGAAGCTTATATGACTGGATAGGGACATGGGCAAAGGTCATGGTAAGAGTGAAGTGTGCATCCTTTGGAGGTTATAAAGAACCGCAGGGAAACAGCATTGGGGCATAGCAGAGATCCCTTTGCCAAAATCTCACTTCATGTGGCTGCTGTAAGAAAACCCTGAACAAGAATGCCGCTCATGGAAGGACACTACAGAGGAAACTGCTACTCTCCAAAACACGCACACACAGGTTTGTAATTATATATTTGTGGAGAAAACTCTAATCCCAACATGACGACCTTAACCCCTACCTAGCCCAAACCTTACCCCTAAGTAACCAAACAAAATACGAGAATTTTGGTTGCATGTATCGGAATCGGATCGGAACTGAAAAAATGTGGATCGTCTCATCCCTAAATATAATATAAACCCCCCCCCCCCCTCACACACACACACACACCGCTGCATCTGTACTGCATGTTCCACAGATTTTCTGGGACAATTTTCTGTGGATTGATGAGAGAAAAGTTGAACTCTTTGGAAATCAACAAACAAAGCAGTGAACTCCAACACCATGGCCCCACCCCAACTACGAAGTACAGGGGGAAGAAGCATCATTGTTTGGGCTGCTTCGCTGTCATTGAGGGAACAGTCAAGTGAAAATTACATTCAGTCCAAGACTTGGACTCCCTACCTCCACCTAACTGAGATGCTGTGCCATGACTTGAAGAGAGCTGCTCACAAAGGAAATCCCTGAAATACGAAAGAACTTGAACAGCTTTCCATTAAAATTCCTCCTACCTGTTGTGCAAGTCTGATCAGCACCTACATTTAATGGAGGTTATTGCTACTGAAGGACGCTCTACAGCTACTAATAAAGGGTTCTCACTAATTTCCTAGCCTAGAAACACCAAAACACCGTGTCGATTAAAGATATCAAAAAGTACAATTATTTGTGTGTTATTAGTTCAAGCAGATCGTACAACGCGCGTATTTGCATAAAGCGAATAAAATCGCATCAAGCGCATACACACAAAACTACAAATCCCAGAATGCTTTGGCCACCAAGACGTACCGATTACCCTGGTTCAGCTTGGATGCTGACAGCGCCGAGAGGGAGGCGGAGAAGAGGGAAGAAGCAGTAGATTGTATTCGGGGAGAAGATGCGGATTATGGTGGACAGTAGGGCGGCAGGTTGTCCGTGTGACTGAACGATGTCAGGACAGGCAACAGCACCGAGAGTCGCCGGGTGTCCAGCCTTCGCTTTCTGACACCCGGAGACATTTAAAGAGAAGTATTTTATTTTGCTCAGTTTTTAAATATTTTAGTCATTTATATTTTCATCCTCGTTGATCTGGTACTGGGAATTTCCTTATATTTAATATGTAATCTGATATTCACAAATACAGGACTATATCACACAAATATGTTTTTGTTACGTGTGTCAGTTTTACCTGTTTTTAACATTGATCAGGGAGCGGGAGGTTATGCATAAAAACGGCAGTGGGGCGTAAAAGGTGGCAGCACATTTCTAAATTTAAACTTAAGGACCACAGGAGGAAAACAGCAACATCGGGAAAAAAATAACAGTCGGCTCTTTTTTTTGTACAAAATAACGCATAATAATAACGGTGTCGGTACTTGGATAACAGCATCTAAAATTTACGCCGGACCTATAAACAGCAATGCTGCAATAATTATTACAGGCACCAGAAAGCACGGAAAAGGAAGAACAAGTTCGGGTTAGGAATAAGGAGAAGGGCTAAAATAAGAGTAACACTTTACATTGGAAACGTCTTAAGATGGAGGCACCCTGGCTTCTATGGATGATGCTTTGGACACTGTTCGGTAATGCGAGCCCCGACTCCGGGCGCGACGTGCCGGAGCCGCTGGCCATTCGCGTCCCTCTGCGACAGGGCCTCCCGTCTGAAGCGCAGCCCGCGGCCAAGCAGCGGGCCCCGTGTGCGAGCAGGCGGCGCAGGGGCGCCGAGGGCATCAGCTTCGTGGACATGATCGACAACCTCCGGGGCAAATCTGGACAAGGTTACTACGTGGAGATGGCAGTGGGGACTCCGCCGCAAAAGGTAAGGTCATCCCCAAGCACCCTCTGCAGCGGTGTCCCGGCTGATGCCCGGGCACCTGCACCCAAAACCCTATCCTGAACCAGTCAGGATGCCCTTTCCGTCGTACTGAGCCATCTCAGGTATTGCATAAAGTATTAACTTTCATCTGTACTATGAGTCTTAACGTAGTATGTGTCTATATTAACTTTATGCCGCTAGCTTACTCACGTTTAGGACTTTTTAAATAACATCTGGTTATCATTGTGAAATCCTCTTTCAGATCACAGCACTGGTGCTCTTTGATTATGAATACCAATGTTTTTTTTTTTTTTTAAATCAGGGAAACATCTGGATTGTTGTCTGGATAAGAGGTCTTTATATAACAAATGCATTTTATGGGTTTCCAAGAGTGTTTGTGTGTGTATAAGTGTGTTTGGGAGAGTGTGTGTGTGTGTGTGTGTGTGCGCGTCTGTGTGTTTGTTGGGTGAGGGAAAGAAACGGGACAATTGTATGCATCCTTTCTGCCAGCTGCGGTGCAGGGAACAGGGTGGCACTAAGGAGGGGGGCAGAGACATTATGCTGGGGGGTAACCCCCAGAAAGCACTTTGGCTGAAGTTGACCTCCCTTGGCCCCTCCCTTTTCATACAACCAAAACGTTTACAGCATTTTTTTTGAGAAATACAACTCTTAACAAATGAGAAAAAAAAATCAAGAAAATTGCTGCACAAACTGAGCGGATAATGAAACACAAAGCTTGAGTTATACGAATCTATTTCCTTTGGAGCAGGGGATATTCGTCCAACCAAAAAAATTATATTTTTTAACATATATATTTGTGACCTTGACTACAGAGCAAGATACAAATGTCATGGAAAAGGACGGCTGCTGGTTACTTGAAATCCTGTGATAAAATGTTGGCTTGGTTGTTATTTGATGCTTACAGATATAATTAATTGATTTTTGTGGATGAACAAGACTGTGTTAAGTAGCGTTAAGTTAGGGAATCGTGTGCTGGGAGAATGTCAGCGATCAGGTGTGTAGGAGTTGAGGGGCAGGGTGGGACTTGCACCCCCTAATATTTAATTTGACTTCATTCGTCTAAAAAAATATAACTTTACCTTAATTAAGTTGTGTCCCTCCTCAGTATCAAACTTTCTCCTGTGCCATTGTCAGCTATTTCCCATCAAATGCCATTGGACGCGAGAGAGGTGAGGAGTTATCAGTGTTTCCCGGTAATGGAGACAGATATGGGGGTGCAGCGGAGACCTTCATGCATTTCCTGCGGGGGTCCCTGGTGAGGCAGGATGCAGCTGTCTACCCTGAACTCTGGTGGAGGGAAGCGAGGGAGTAGAGAAGTATCGTGAGTCTGCTTACCCATCAGAAATATATGGAGAGGATGGGGGGGGGGGGGGGGGGGGGGGGGTGTATAAGGTAGCAGACACCAGAATTTACTGCAAGGTGATGACTGGGATTTTTCCTGTGAATTCCTGTGCATTGATTGGCTGCAGCTCTGCGGAAGAAATTTATTAATGTGTGACTTCGGTTTAAGTCGCTTACATGGAAACTGATACCACCGTTTTGCATGTCAGTCATTATAAACAGGAAACGAGTGGCGCGATCTGCCCCCAGCTTTCTGAAAAGTTCGAATGTAGAGGCAGGATTTCTGTTTCTATTACCATTTACATTAATTTAGGAAGCACCTTTGTCCAAAGCTATTTGCCAATTATCTCTGCCAGTCATGAGTTTTGCAGTACCTCTAACCCTGGGGATTACGTGACACCTCACGTGATGGTCAATTCTTTGGGATTGAAATCTTATATACTGGGATAAAACTGGATATTTAATGTGGATCATTAAATGAGTGATGCCTTATACTGACACTGTTGAAGCCTCAGAGGAGCAGTCGCTCTGTTTGCTGTCCCCACAGTCCTGTGTCTGTGTTCTTCGTAATCAGCTGCTCTTTGCATTGTCTCTTGTCCCTGCTCCCCTCCTCTGCTGATTGCTGATCTCAGGTTGCCCTTTCTCTCTCTCTCTCTCTCTCTCTCTCTCTCTCATTCTCTGTCTCTCTCTCTTACTCTCATTCTCTCTCTCCCTGTCTTCATATCGGATTGTGCCCAGTCAGTTGAGTCAGTCAGTCAGACTGCTAGTCTCTGGTGTCCAGTAGGATGCGAATCAATAATTCATTTGCCCTTTAGATACTTTGATGAGCTTCCTGGCACTTTAGTGACCGTGGCTGGAAATGTAGTAATTCATAATTTTTCGCCTTTCATGTCCATGTGGAGAATCGTATCCTCGTCCAGCCACCTGGCCGGTCCCTGGGACACGTTTGCTTCATATTCCCACAGACTGCTGGTAACCTTCCTGATTGTTTGTTCAGAGCTGTAGGAATCACTGTTCGTTCAGACCAGCCATTTCCACTGCTGAGCCTTGATAATTAGTGGCCCACAATCTACTTGTTCCAAAGAACACATATTTCAGTTTATAACAGGGGTGCGAAACCTGATCCATGGAGGGCCGGTGCAGGTTTTTGTAATGGTCTCTCAATCAGCCAATCACAGTGGGTCCCCAGGACTTGAGAGCCACTGCTTTATTATTGGCTGATTGAGAGGTCATCCCAAAAACCCACATCAGGTTCCCCACCCCTGGTTTATAATATTGCCTGAATACTGGTTTAAATGGCCATGAGTTGTATAATGTAACAGATGATTGCGGTGCACAGTCAGTTTCTCCTTTTGCAGTATAGTGGTGGCCCCTCTATAAATAGCTATAAATAGTAGCTCACGATACACATATGCTACAGCTGAGTGTTGAATGGAAGTTTTAATTTGTAAATCTAACCTCACTGTGCCTTAATACTCATTTTCAGTGTGTACAATCACTCTCGGTGTTACAGTAATAGTCTGTCATCGTCTCTCAGCAGAAAATATCGAATTACAATCTGCGTCGCCAGGAAATTGTGAAGATTCTGATTTGCATACATGTTTATCCCGTTAACTGTGTCAGCCTTTAATTGGTTCAGGTTCAACCACTGAGCTTCGAAACTCACAATATTAATTTCACAGTATGTATACAGGGATAATATAAATTGAGCCAATTTAAAGGTCTGCTGCTTCAGGTTCCCTCAGATAGGTAGTGATGGGGTCAGTTTACTGCGCTAATAAGCCAACGATGAAGACAAGGGCACCAAGTCAGTGGTTAGGCTGCATATCAGGCGGCAGAATAAGGTCTGGTGTCCAAAACTGCTTACGCTGTTGAGGGTTATGTCTGGCCTGCGGCCCCCCAGGAAGCTAATAGCGAGAGGAAGGGGGCTCCCTGGAGGGGGTGTCTGCCCATTGCAAGACATCACATGCATGATATCACACCATGGGAGGAAATCCAGAGAACATGGGCAGGGTGTGCAAACTCCACACAGACACGGCAGTGGTGGGGATGAATGACAAAACGCTCGCCACGCTGCTCTTGTCACACACCCCCCCCCAATGAAGGAAAATACAGATTCAACCATCAAGACAATATGGTAACACTTTACTTGAGGGGGCACAAGTAACTCAGTAACTCATTTACTACTCAAGTATAAATTATGAGCAAATATACAGTAGTAACTGCATGTGGTAGATGAACCGTCATGATTTATTAATGATGAATAAACATGGGATCAGTACAGAACTTTATGGTTAATTAATGCATTAAGTAAGAGTGTACTACCACATTATTTGTGTCCCCTGAAATAAAGTGTTACTGAAAATAAAATTGAAAATTAATTTCTTGGTAATAACAAAGACTGAGACTAACATGATTCTATAAATTGTTATATTGTTTACATTGTATATTATTTTTTTATTCCTACTTAGGTTTTTATATTATTATGTGAACTGTTTTTGTCAACACACGGTTTGGATTTTATTACTGTTTCCTAAGGTGGTGTATGATCACTGGTTATAAACGGGAGCAATTACTATCCATCACATTCTTTAAAATTTGCTGTGTGTATGTGTCCCACAGCTGAACATCCTGGTGGACACAGGCAGCAGTAATTTTGCTGTTGGAGCAGCAGCTCATCCTTTCCTTCGCAGATACTACCACCGCTCTCTGTGAGTACACTGCACAAACTACCAACATATTCTGTTAGTACACTGCACATATTACCACCGCTCTATTTGAGTACACTGCACAAACTACCAACATATTCTGTTAGTACACTGCACATATTACCACCGCTCTCTTTGAGTACACTGCACTTACTACCACCACATTCTGTTAGTACACTGCACGTATTACCACCACTCTCTGTAAGTACACTGCAGATACTACCACTGCTTTCTGCGAGTACACTGCACTTACTACTGTCACATTCTGTTAGTACACTGCATGTACTGTATTACCACCGCTCTCTGTGAGTACACTGTACGTACTACCACCACATTCTGTTAGTACACTGCACGTATTACCACCACTCTCTGTAAGTACACTGCAGATACTACCACTGCTTTCTGTGAGTACACTGCACATACTGCCACCGCTCTCTGATTACACTGCACTTACTGCCACCACATTCTGTTAGTACACTGCACGTATTACCACCACTCTCTGTGCGTACACTGCAGATACCACCATCAATCTCTGTGAGTACACTGTAGATACCACCACCACTTATTGTGAGTACACTTCAGATACTACCACTGCTCATTGTGAGTACACTGCTCATTAGTTCACAACACTGACATCTAGTCTGTACTAGGCTTTCTGGTGGCTTGCTCTTCTTCACAATCCTCCTATTATTATATTAGTATTTGAATTATTTGCTTAATTGGTATTATTATCCATGGCTAAAGACTTGAATAAGGGAAGATTTATACTGGAGATATTTAGACCTACTACATGAGGTTCAGCTCAAACCAACAACCATCTGGTGCAAATATCCTTAGTGTGTTTGTATTCTTGTATTCTTGTATTCTTTTTCAGATCAAGTTCGTATAGGGACCTTGGCCACAGTGTGTATGTGCCATACACGCAGGGCCGCTGGGAAGGGGAGCTGGGCACCGACGTGGTGTCTGTGCCCCACGGACCCAACGTTTCCCTGCGGGCTAACATCGCTGCCATCACACAGTCCGACCACTTCTTCATCAACGGCTCCAACTGGGAGGGCATCCTTGGGCTGGCCTACGCTGAGATTGCACGAGTGAGTGAGTTAGATTGGATCTCGAAAGGGTGTAGGATGGAATATTCTCTCATGCCAACCTTGCATTCAAGGGTAGATGTGTAGTGGAAGTAGATGAAGGATAAAAGATATAGGCCTTCTATCAAAATGGGGAAGCGAGTATGGATGAGGATATTGGAATATGAATCCCCGCTTGCTCAGAGAGGGGTGGAAGTGGACAGGTGTGTAAGACGCATGCAGGAAAGGTACAGCAGGATATCATTATTTCTGTTTCATGCCCAATGCCTGAGACATGTCTACTTTAATTACAGTACCTGTGGGACTCCTCTCCGTCTTGACCTTGACCACCTCCAAACTAGACGAGAAAGATTTTATGACCGACACACACAGGCATTTGCACGACTGCCGACTGAAAGGTCAATAAAGACCAGAGGAGCCATGTTTTCTCCGCAACCTAAACCTTGTCTTCTTTCTGCCTGAAGCCCGACGAGACGCTGGAGCCCTTCTTCGACTCGCTGGTGCGGCAGACCACAGTTCCAAACCTCTTCTCCCTCCAGCTGTGTGGCACCGGGTACAGCCAGAATTACAGCCTGGACAGCGCTACTGTGGGGGGCAGCATGGTGAGGCCAGAAAGTGGACGGGGGGGGGGGGGGTTAGCGCTGTTACTAATCATCTCTGACCACATTTAGGATCTCTGCCATGGCTCCATGTGTGTGAACTGCTTGTTCTCTGCATGTTCTCTGCTTGTTCTCCCCATGTCGTAGTGGGGTTTCCTCCGGATACTCCAGATTCCCCCCACAGTCCAAAAAACATACTGAGGTTCATTGGAATCACCAGAATTGTGCGCGTGTGAGCGAATGGTCTGTGAGTGTGCCCTGCGATGGGTTGGTGTCCCATCCTGGGTTATTCTCCGCCTGGTGCCCGTCGCTTCCGGGATAGGCTCCGGACCCTCTGCAACCTTCAATAGGACAAGAGGTTACTGAAAATGTGGAGAGAGAGAGAGAGAGAGATATGTATGTGTGTGTGTGTGTGTGTGTGTATCAATCTATTTTCCAAACCGCTTATCCTTCTGGGTCGCGGGAGCTTATCCCGGAAACTACAGGCACGGGGCAGGGAACAACCCAGGATGGGGAGCCAGCCATCACAGGTGTGTGTGTGTATATATATAGAAATATGTGCTGTATGAAGTTTTCCTCTCCTGTCCTCAGATCATTGGGGGGGTAGACCCCTCCCTGTACGTGGGCGATCTGTGGTACACGCCGATACGCCGTGAGTGGTATTATGAGGTCATCATCGTGCGCATCGAGGTGAATGGGCAGGATCTCAACATGGACTGCAAGGAGGTGAGAGCCTGGGTGGAAAACGCTGGTTGGTGTTGTGGGTGTTTTCCTGCTCCTTGGCGTCTGTGTGAGTGAAGTGCATGTATTTGTACGCTGTGCAGTTCATGTGAAAGTGCCACTCTCTCCTTAGATTCAGGTCAGGTTTAACATGCCTGCATCCGCATGGATTATTCTTAAACCGCTGCTTAAACAGACAGAGAAACACAAGAAAGATACAGTAAAAACATTGGTAAAAAGTTTTTAAAATAATGCAGTTGATATCAGGGTTGGGGCCATTCCGGAATGCATTAATCAATTCCAGTCCAAATCAGGAAATTGGGAATTGGATTTGGAAAAAACAATAGGGAACAGAATTGGAATTGAATTTGAATTTCAGGGAGATTTAAATTCCAGCTCCAGTTCCATTTCCTGATTTAAATTGGACCCGGTGAATGTATTCTGGAACGCGCCAACTCTGTCTGATTGCTATAGTGAGCACAACTTTAATCAGCTAACAGATTGATTAGAGATGTAACCTAGGATTACCATGATAAAGAGTGACAGTTACTCTCAGTTCCTGGTTAAATCTATGCTGTAGCTGATGTGATGGTGAAGGTGAAACTATGAAAGCAATAGCAAAGAACCCTGACGACTAACATGGAAGGTTTTATGTTTACTATTAAATTAGTCTTTTATTCCATTTGAATACTGGGTAATGTTTTAACCCGAACGGCACCCATTTACTCTTTATATTCACGTCTTACTTGTCATTTTTCTGAATATTTACAGCATTGTATAGCTCTTGAATCTACTGATGGCTCTCAGATGTCTTAGCTCAAAAGTTACTGAACCATTTTCAAAATCTTACCAAACCCACCATTGTCTGTTCGCTGTTCCTGTGGATGTCTTGTTGTAGAAAAATGGATCCAAAATGGGTCAGTTTTGAGATATTCCAGTCTTTTGTTTGGTTGGACACACACACACCCAGAAAGGACATTCTAACCACTGGGAAACATGATTTTTTTTTATGTGGATTCAAAGGAGGTTAGCTTATTTAAAAATAGACATTGCATGGAATGACCCATTAACAAAATTTAGGCCGTATAGAGACAGGGGTTTGGCAATGAAGGCTCTCCGAGAGAGTAGGTCTAAAAACCCATTTGTACTGGGAGAGTCAGTGACTGATTATGTCTGATATTCACCAAATATCTAACTGTGTTCTGTGGCCTCTGTCTGTACTCATAGACAGAGTGTGCTGGGGACTGATTCTTCCAGTCATTCATGGCGGGAGAGATGGATACTCGTCGAGTCTTTTTATAAAAAGGTGGTCAGGCTTTCCCTTGTTTA